ACAGGTATTCCATTACCATGCCATCTGAAGCAGAATTGGGGCATCTGAAGACTACTAGTAGACAAGCACATAGCCAAGCACAGAATGTTAAAACTCTCTTCTTGATGGCACATAAAACTCTTAAAGTGACTCTTTTGGTAACATTCTCTTAGATTTAGGGAGGAAAACAACTCTTTTCCCTCCTGCACAGTGATAACTGTTGATTTCATTTATTCTACCCTTCTAAAGAGGTCACTTCCTCTTTTCCCTTTTACGGCTTATAAATTTAGAGGCAGGCAGTCATAATGGCAGCTATTCCCAACGGTCCATAGTACTAACTGAAACCTGTGTGCAGGTTTAGTAGTCCTATTAATTAAACTGTATCTTTTCTAAAGCACTGAATATATCTCAGTTGTTTGCACTTCCAATTCTTAACAAGAGTATTAGTAGATAAAAAAATCCTTTAATTAAGAATCAGACACTAGGGCTGGGGATTTAGCTCAGTGGCATAAGCACCTGCCTTGCAAGCAGGCAGTCGGGAGTTCGATCCCTGGTACCGATAAAAACAAAAAAGACAAAAAAAAAAAAAAAAAAAAAAAAAAAAAGAATCAGACACTAGAGCCAGGCATGGCGGTACATGCCTTGTAATCCGAGTATTTGGGAGGCTGAGGCTGGAGGATCATTGCAAGTTCCAGACCAACCTGGGCTACAAAGTGAGGTCAAGTTCAGCCTGAACTGTATAGCAGATCTTATCTCAAAAGAACAAAAAACATACAAACAAAATCAGACACCAGTAAAAGTATCAGATTGAGGATGCGGCTCAATGGTAAACTTGCCTAGCACACAAAGGCATTAAAATGTCAAATACCATAATAACAAAGGTAAAGATAAATATGACTAACATTTTTCTAAGTTTAGAACAAAAGAACTATTTTGTAGCCCATGCTTTGCCATCAAAAAACTGGTTCTAGCCACCACATTTTATGCTGTTTCAGCAACTACATTTCAAACCTTACAAGTACCGTACCACAACTATAAGTAACAGCCAAGTACAGTCGCACATGCCTGTAATTCCAGCACTCCAGAGGCTAGCATGGGAGGATCACCATGAGTCTGAGGTCAGCCTGGGCTACATGTGACACCTTATCTTAAAAGATCAAAACAAAAAAAGGCTGGGCATGGTAGTACAGGCCTGTAATCCCAGCACTCAGGCACCTGCAGCAGGAGGATCACTGCTAGTTCTAAGTCAGTGTGCACTACATAGTGAGACCCTGTGTCAAAAAAACAAACAAACAAACAAAATAACAAAAAAACAAACCTCTACAAGTAATCAATCTCACATCTCTTGATATATACATAATGGAATTTAAACTTTTCTCATTTACTTTTTCACATACTTGTTTCCATGGTAGAGTCCCAAACAGAAAGTCTAAGAACTCATAAAAATGAACCATAAATTTCTAACTGGACCCATGTTGAGTTCAACATACTTGCAATTTTGTACATTATGGGTGAATATGCAAATATTAATGTACATGTTTACCATATCAAAATTACTGTAAAAAGACCATTTATCAAGAAAAATCCAATTCTAGTTTCCAATTTTAGTCTAGTTCTAGACCAAGACAGAATCCTGAGGCATTAAGAGATCTAAACATGAGTAAATACCTGTGCAAACTAGTAATCACAGGTCTAAATTATGAAAGAAACTAAGTTTACTTTATGGAAAGTAGCTAAGTGCCAAGTGAAAGCTAATCCAAACCAAAACATTCAGCACAATTTTTATTCCTGGCAACTTCAGCTCCTAGCTATGACATTAAATGGTAACAAGTGATTGAGTTATAAAAACATTGGTAGGTATGGCAGCCCTTTCTCTCAAGTTAAAATTGTTATGGGTTCACATCACAAGTGCCTTTAATTAGATAAATGATTCCAAAGTAAAAGCCAGAGGTAAACCAAATCGAGGAAACTTTTTTCCCAAAAATGTATCTGCCTTCTTCATATTTTTTCACTACTAAGATTCTGAAGATAAGTGTAATATGATAGATGTGTATGTATCTTTTTAAAATCTTCCAATTTATTTTGAGACATTAATCTGTCTCCACCTTTATGGAAAATTCTCATATCAATAGCAAGCATAAGGAACAGAACTATGGGAGCTCTGCAGAAATTCATGCAGGTAAAAAGGTGTATTCAGAGAAGATGCAAACCCTCTTCAGGGATTTCTGTACCAGCTCTCTTCAAATCTAAGTATGACATTTTAGATAATGCTACATGTTCAGTTTATTACCCTGAGAAAAACACATTTTAGTAATCAAACCAAAACATAAAAAGAAACCAATTGTGGCAGGCGACCCTAAGAAACTACAATAAAATGCCAAAACTGTACTGCTTTGGTATTAAAAAAGCAAAGCACTATTGTTGAGCATGGTGTCTTATCCCTATAATCCCAACAATTGGGAGGCTGAGGTAGGATTCTTGTGAGTTTGAGCCAGCCTGGGCTACACAGAAAGGCCTTGCCTCAAAAACAACAAAGCAGCTGGGAGTGGTGGTATATGCCTGTAACCCAGAACTTAGGAAGCTGAGGCAGCAGGAGGACCTTTCCAAAATTAAGACCGCCCAGGCTACAAAGTGAGGTCAAGGCCAGCCAGCCTGAACTGCACAGCAAGACACTGTCTCATAAAGATAAAAACAACAATACAAAAACAAAACAGACAACAACATTCCTCCTCAAAATAGCTTAAGGGTTGGGCTAAAAAAAAAAATCAAGATCCATTTTAAAGTGATTATATTTCAACAACTATTGTTTTCTTAATAAACAGCAACATTACTGAAGTGTTTCAGGAGAGCACTTCTATAAGCTATAAATAATATCCAAATTAGTATTTGCTAATTTAGACTAGTGTTTCTTAAACTACCCGGTAATCTCTAATATCCAATTTATGGCATGCTACAATGACATCTACTGGACACTCAAAAGCAGCCATTAGATCTCCTAGACAGTCTGAGTAGGTTGGTTACATAACACACACACACACACACACAGCAAGAACCCCAGCCTACATTAAGGCAGAGATTTGTTCATAGGTACTCAAAATACTACAAATTTCGCCTAAAATAGAAACTGAAGTTTTCTTTGTGATTCAGATAGCATTATTTTTTCAGAGATAAACAACAAAGAATGAGGCATCAAGAATCATTTAAAAATTTTAATTAAAACATTGACAAGGCTTGTTAGTACTCTGAATACTTTAGAATGAACTTCAGGTCGCACTTATCCTAAGTACTTTGAGACAGGGAGCGGGGGTTTTAGCTCAGTGATGCTATGTCTGCCTGGCAGTCGTGAGATCTTGAGTTTGATTACAGGTAACCACCTCACCCCGAAAAAAATGGCATCCAGATACTTTGAGAGAAAAAAATGAAATAGTGATTGAAGTTTATGTGAATATAAATGACCACTAATACCAAAAAGCAAAACACACCTCATTTTGAAAAGTTTTTCTGACAGGCAATATACTAAGGCAAATGCAAGAAAATGATAAAATTGCTAATACTCCATTCCTCCTAAACCGAAGGTATTATTCCAAACATCTTACATTGTAGTAATTTATAGCTTCTTTTAAAATTGTTTTCTAGACTTAAATCGCTCAATAAACTACAAAGTTATATGTTTGTACATAGTCTGTCTTCTCATAGCATATGCTAAAATTCCTATTTTAGCCTTACATTTTATTCTGCAAAAAATGACTCCCAAAGCTTAAGAGCAAAATAATTTGTGATTAGTTTTATATGTAAATACATCTCACCTAAGTCCAAGAGATTCAGAGCATGCTTTTAAAATCTAAGATATAAGTAACTCATAACAAGGGTCTCAGACTTACAGAGCAAATTACTTAAAATTTTAGGCTTTTCCTCCCTCAATCCCGACCTCCAATTGTTCAGCTCCTAACATCCACAGTATCCAAGGACAGGAAAGAGAACTACCAACTACTTTTCTAATCCCTTTCCAACTTGTACTTACCTCCTACTGTAGATTTTTGAAGCTCTTTACCTTCCTGAAAAACTGTATTGTCAGCATCCTTCACCCTCGTAACAAATAAACTCACGAATTACAAATCACAAGCCTGATCACACTCGTCCGGCGCTCATCGCGGCTGAGCTCTGCGTGACGGCCCCGTCCCCGCGCCCCCGTCCTCGCCCACGGCGCCGCCTGGTGCCGAGCACGCCAGCCCCAACCGTGCTCCCTCGCCAGCGGCTGCGAGACCCCTCCTCCGAGAGGTCAGACCGGGCCTCAGGGTGAACGCCGGCCCAGTTACATAATGACGGCTAGGGAGTGTGTGCAGGGTCGCACCGCCAGAAGTTCTTTCTTCTTCGCATCCCTTCCCACCTCCAGGTAAGGCCCTGAAGCCCAGTCCCTCGGCTTCCTCCCGGCTCCTGCACCGCCACGTCCTCTGCTCGCCTGGCCTTCGTGCAGGGGATCCCTCAGGCCCCAGGACCGGCACCGCACTCCCCCGTCCCCCTCCCCGCCGGCCTGCAGGCCGCGGGCGCCCGGCTGGACCGCGCCGCCGCTGTCTCGAGACCTCCGCTTGCTACCTGGCTACGCGGGTCCGTGGCCGCCGGCGGTAAGGCTGCAGCCTCCCCAGCCCACCCTCGTCAGCCGCCCTCCACACGTCCCGCAGCCAGAGAGGAAAGCCCCCGTGTACAGCGTTTTGCAGACCCAAAACCAGCAGGACAGCCTACCCGCCCCCGCCGCCTCCGGCTTCCTGCCGCCACCGCCTCCCGCAACAGCCTACCAGCCGCAGCGCAACATTCGGGCCGCCGGTTGGCTGAGCCTCCGCTCTCAACAACAGCCACTCTCATTGGCTGAAGCTCCCTTCAGCCCGCCCACGGGTGCAGACTCTAAGCACTCCGCCACCAACCAGGAAAAAATCTTTTCCCGTGCTTCTGAACGCCACGACGACTCTTATCTCGGTCAAACTTCGGATGCCTATTTGTGAGAAAAATAACTCCCTCGAGTTATCGCCACATGATCCAGAATCTCTAAGCCAGTCCCGGAACGCAAAACGTCGCCACCGCTTTCCTATCGTAAGAAACTCGAGGTGGCAACTTCCGCTTCCGGTTGGCTGCGGCTGGAAGGTGGACTACTGAGTGTCCTGAGAGGTCAGATTGCTGTCAGGTAAATAAAGGCGTTGGTGGACACTTCTGAATTAGGGACGAGAGCCAGAGTCTTGTAGGGAATGTACATAGGAGAAATTAAATGGAGAAGGACGAGGAAGGGACAGTTGAAGAGGGGAGCAGGTGGAGGAGCTGGCGGGCAGAAAGAGCCCAGCGGTCTGGTCAGGACCTGGGTAGGCAATGGTGAGGGGAGGACGCTGCTCCCTCGCCTCTGCCTCCCGCAGTCTCCTCGCCCGGTGCTCTTTGGGTTTATATTGACATCGAGTAAAAAGAAAAAAGAAAAATATACGTAAAACTTTTAAATATTATATTTCATCTAAACCAGTATGTTAAAAATATAGCAAGGTATCCATATTGTTATTAAAGAAATATTTTTATACTGTTTTCAAAATCAACATACTTTACAGGATATCTATATGTTCTTTTTATACTCGATCTCTATTGATATTTCATAATATTTCCAGTCGAGAAAATAGATACGTACACCAAAATTGCTCCAAATTGCATTTTAGTATTTCCTAATAACTGATTTGAGAATGGTTTTGAATTTTAAATGCATTAAAATTAAATAATCCCTGGTTCCCTGGTTGCACTTGCCTCTGTGAGTGGCTGCTGGCTGGGACTGTAAGGAGAGATGGGTAGGACTGCTGGCCCGAAGGCCTGCAGAGCTCCAGTTTTTCTAGGTCATGTTGGATTTTGAGAACGATCATACGCCGTAGCATTCACACCAGCTGGGTGTGAAGATGGACTGTTTCCCAAGTTGTCATAATCTCACAGGGTAGATTGTATCCTCATTATATGAAGAAACTGAAGTTTAGAGAAATTTGATTTTCCTGGGCTTTTATAGCTATTAATGGTACAAAATAGGAGAATTCCAGGCATTTAAAAATTATCAAGATGTGATAATGTATATGGACCAATTTCCCAAGATATTATTACTGTTATTCTGTATTGCAAACATTACTCATAAAAAAAGAATTCCAAAGTCTTCCTTCAAATTATTGGGATATTATTTGTGGCTATTCTGAACAGAAATAGTTTTTAAAAAGAAAATGAAAGGTTCCCTAGAAATAGTGTTCAACTTTTTATTTTTATTTAAAAGTTCTGCTGGACATGGTGGTACATGCCTGTAATTCAAGCACTCAAAAAACAATAGTAACAATAACAATAGTAATGTTTTGAAAACATATTAGGAAAAAGGGAAAGCATTGCCATTCTAAATAAATGCGCCTAACAGCCTACCCCCCTCCCCCGGCCAAATAGCCTTTTTAAAAATAATGTATTGAGGCCTAGGGATTTAGCTCAGTGGCATAAACGCCTGCCTGACAAGTGCAAGGTTGTGAATTCAACCCCTGGTACCGATAATGATAATAATAATAATAATAATAATAATAATAATAATGTATCAAGCTGGGCAGGTGGCACATTCCTGTAATCCTGGCCCTTGGAAGCTGAGGCAGGATAATCACCGTATATTTGAGGCTCCCCTGGGCTACATACAAGGCCAATCTGCACTACATAGTGAGGCCCTGTCTCCAAAAAAAAAAAAAAAAAAAAGTAAATCTCAGAAGTCATTCTGAAATACAAAGCCATAATTTTTCCCTTCTTCCTCCTCCTCTTTTTCTTCTTCTTTTGTCTTTTTTGAGACAGGGTTTTACTATACAGTTCAGGCTGGCCTTGAATTCACTTTGTAGCTCAGGCTAGCCTCAAACTCAGTAATCCTTCCTCAGCCTCCCAAGGCCTGGGATTACCAGTGTGTGCTACTACACTTGGTCTCTTATTATTTAAAAAATATTAATTTGGGGCTGGGGATTTAGCTCAGTGGCTTAAGTACCTGCCTTGCAAGCAGGCGGTCGTGAGTTCGATCCCCGGTACCGATAAAAATGAAAAAGACAAAAAAAAAATATTAATTTGTTTGTTTATGTATTTACTTTGAGATAAGATGAGGTTTGACTATCCTCATTTTAGGTTTGAACTTTTAAGTGATCCTCCTGCTTCCGTCTTGAGTAGCTGGGACTACTAGCACGTGCCTCTGTGCCTGACTTTTCTTTGTTATTTAATCTACCAAGTAATAAAATAGTACATTAAATGTTTTATTCAAAGTTGTGAATGTTGTAGGTTTAACTTGATTTGGTGGGTGATAGAGTTATTTCCAAAAGATGAAAAATATTAACAAAAGATGAGAAATATAAAATAAAAAGTGGCCTTTATTCTGAGAACACGGAGAGAGATGACCGGCACCTCCACCGCTGGCGTCCGGCAATCTCTCCGGCGGACACGTGGCGTGGGGGCCTGTAAATAGCCTCGGTTTGGGGTGAAACCTAAGGCGGGCATTAGGGATACACAGGTAGCCCATTGGTCCTAGGTTTGGCGCCATATGTAAATTCCCAGGGGCGGGAAGATGGCGTCACAGGTAACTTCCTAGGGGCAGGGCAAGATGGGGCTTCCTGCTTCCGGTTGTGGCTTTCCTGGCTACAGTGTCCTGTCTGGGCCAAAACCTTTCATATCCCGTCTTATGATTATTATTATGAAAAGGGGCGAAGATTTCTCTCTTTAACTACTTCCTGCTGGCAAAGGGCGCTGTACTGGAGCCTAGGGGAGTCGACGGGATGAAGGTTGATGCCCAGGTAGACGCTGCTGCCAGGTGTTTTAGCCAGGACAACTTCACTGGTGAATGCACGTATGTCAGACTGGAAAAACAAAGAGACAAAATGTTATGAGGAGACATGGCACTGTCATATTTAAGGACCAAGGTGAGGTAGAAGGAAAGGTGCCTTTGATTTAGACATATCATTCTATCAGGACTATGTTGAGGTAGAAGCATTTCCACAGTAAGGCAGAATTCCGAAAATTAAACGTGGGGTTAGGAGGAGTGGAGTTATGAGAGGTGATTACTCCCCCATCTGAAAGCATAAAAGTTAAGACGGTAGATTGGTAAGGCTTGTCTCTGGTATGCATGATGTTGGAGTCTGTAGGCAATACTGTTAGAGTCCTGCTGTAAAAATAATCATTAATAGAATGTAAGAAATTAGGAACCAAAGTGGATAACAAAACATGACTTAGCCTGTTAACTGTGGCTGCGAGGCCTTTGTGAGATGGAGACAGGTAGGAGACAGAAGATGAGATGACCACTCAGAATGATCAGATTTAGGGCTGGGAGGGCACCTCTTAGCCTGAGCGATGTGAAACTAGGATGGAAGTCCAGCAACTTTGATTTAGGCATGGGTCGCTGTAACCTGGTTGTAGTCCTTGGAATGATTTGCTGTAACAGAACTTTAGCAAGTATGAGAAAGGCTTTTATGTATCCTGAAAAAGTATAAACCAAGTGAGAAGACAAAAATGTATCTGTCAGTCTTGACCAGGGTTGTCTGACAAATTGGTGAACAAGAAAGGAAGGGGGTGGTCTATATCACTGAGGAAGGGTCTACCAGCAACAACAGGTGGAAGATGTAGAGGCTTCAGTGTGTCTAAGTCAGCCTGAATAAAAGGCATTTTAAGATTTAGGACTGGGACCTGCACAAAATAGGCCCTGTTTGTAAATGGCATAGGTTGACCATCAATACCATGTCACAGAGATTGATTTAATATAGCAACCTGAATACTCAGGAAGAACTCTGTATATATGGCCTCTATGTCCACAAATATAGAGAATGTCTTACCTGAGAGTTTTAGTGCGACTTGGAATCTGAGACGGACACCTTAAAGGGGGCTGTTGTTGCCCTGAACCCCCTCAGCCTCCAGCAGCGATTTTCTGTCGGTGACGAATCTGGCAGTGTCAACATTTCCTGTGAGGGCTATTACTTAGGATGACTTACCCACTCTCTGGTGGCTAGGACAGTCCAGTAGCCCTGGACTAAGGTCTCAAAGAATGACAGGGTGGGGCATTTTCTTGCCCAGTATCTTCTGCTGCATTTGAGCGTGGTCCATGGAGGGGGCAGGCAGCTCCACCTTGTGTAGGTTTACCTGTCTCAGAACTCCAAGTGTCACAAGTGTTAAAATTATGAAAAACCATATTAAGATCTCTATTAGGTTTGAAGGTCAAGTTTTGCCTTTTTGTTTGGGATTTGGACTATAGTAGAATTAAGTAAGTATGCAGGAATTTAATATTGGCATTTTGGATTAGAGAGCAGGCTTTATCTGGATGGCATATCGCTTTTTTTTTTTAATAGGGTGACATGTAGAATTAACAAAGCTTTAGTCTGCCAAACAAGGCTTTAATGGAAACGTTTTGCAGTAAAGGTTTAGCAATCTTATGAATAAATCTATCAAAACTGATCTAATACTGTCAAATTCTGAACACATTTACTTTTAAAGTTGTTATTTGCAGTAGTATGAACCAAGACAAATAAAATTAAAACTTTGAAGAAAACCCTTGTCTTGAAATAGAGCTATTGGTTCCCAGCAAAAAGGTATTTATAACCTTAGTTGTTAAACAGGAGATTGGTGAAGGCTTTGATTGATAAACAAGGCTGGTAAAATTATCAGGTGGCCAATAACCTTGATTAAATGGTTTGAGAATTGTAATAAAAAGCATCTTTTGAGCGGAGCCAAATTGTAAAAAAGCATGCCTGAGCAGAGCCGCTGAGCTGCTGTTTCGCGGCGCTCCAGCAGAGCACGCCCAGTGGGTGGGGCAAGCACTGGGATGTAGTGCGCAGGGGCGGGCTCAGACTGCCCCCGGAAACGTGTAAGATGGCAGCGGCGACGACGGCGCATGGGGGAGGGAGGGCCTGGGATGGCGCATGGGGGAGGGGCTGGGAGGCGGCCCGACACAGCGCACGAAGCTGGAACTGCTTGCAGGGCGCGAGGATTAGAAAGACAATTTAGGAACACAGCTGGGTTTTGATTAGCCTCCTGGACCTGCTTTAAAAGTTTGTTATAGTTAGTATGCTTGACCTGCTCTGGCACAGCTATAGGCCTAGAGTCATTATCAGCGGTGTTTACCTGTCTGTGATCAGCTTCTTTTTGAGCTGCTTGCCACAGCTGATTCCGTTCTTGTGAGCTGAGAGTGGTATTTAGAATCCCATAAACATCCTTAAAATGTAAATCATAACAATTAGTAATGAATTTAAATTGCCTGATATAATTCTGTGGGTCAACAGAAAAGCTACCTAATTTATGGGCAATCTGGGATAGATCAGAAAGGGAAAAAGGCACATGGATGTTAACAAGTTTCTTGGGGCCAGCTTGCTCCCGAAGTGGAAGCAGAGCCTGAGGAGAAGATTCCAGAGCAGAGGGCCATGGAGCAGCTATCCTTCCGGTAGGCGCATGTGAGCAATCATCTGTAGGGCGGCTACAGAGCTGCTGCTGGTCACCCTGGGAAACACAGGCAGATGGCGTCTCACTGTGTGCCTTGCAGTGAGAGGACTGCTGTCGGCAGCACAATGAAGCGTCATGTGCACTACAACAGGGCGGCTGTTGCAGTTTACAAGAGGAGCCACAAGGGGACGCCCGTTGAGAGTGACGGTCCTGGGAACATGGCGGCGCCCTGTCACGTGACCCGAAACATGGCAGTGCCCTGTCGCCATGTGGCCCTCCTGAACATGGCGGCGCCATGCCACGTGGCAGAGGGTTGCAACATGGCGACTGTTCCTGGCGCAAGCTGGAACAATCATGCGACCTGCTGGAAGGACATAGCAACCGAGACCTAGTATGGTGGGCAGGCGGTGAGAATGCTGTAGGGGATACAGAATTCTCAGGAGAGGAAGTCGGAGACTGCGAGGAAGCGCTAACAGAGGGATTAAAGCTGCTGGGAGAGTTATGGGTCCCGGAAGGCAGAGAGGGAGACGATCGCACAGCGGGAGGTATCTGCGATGGAGAGGGATTAGAGCTGCTGAGAGAATCAGGCATAGGGGGAAGAGAGAGCGGTCCGGCGGGAGAGAACGGCAGGGAACGAGTTTGGTGGTAGGCAGGTGGTGGCTGGGAAAACAACGGAGGGCAGGACGGGAAAGTTTGCGGCGCAATAGACTTAGCTAAAAGTATCTCAGCTGGAGCACAAGACTTACTGAGAGATGGGCGTGTTCTCAGAATAAGAAAGGCTTGGACATAAGGGAGTTCTAATAACTTGTTGTCAGCTTGACAAAAATCGTACAAGTTCCTGAGAATGCAGGGGTCAAATGTTCCTTTTTTGGGCCAAGGCTTGCCGATAAGCGGATAGGTTGGCCAAACCTCCTGGCAGTAAAAAGTTAGTTGTTTAGTTTTTATGGTACCTTTAATTTTTAGAGTACGTAAATTGGAAATTAGGCATTGTAAAGGCGTCTTTTGGGAGTTAGAAAATACGTTCCCCATGACTGATTCAGGCAAGAAAAAAACCGGAGGTCCAGAACAAGTCATCACTTATTTGTGGCACCACGCGGCGGCTACGGTTCCAAAAACTCGTAAATTCCAGTCGTCACTGAGAGATTTACGAATGGAGTCTACGTGGGGTCAGTAACAGTTTTGCCTGTGAAAGCGCAAGGCTTTAAGGGAAGTGAGGCATTCTTTCAGTGTGGGCAGTCCCAAAGATCCCTGCTTTGGGCTATCCGAACCCAAAGAACGTGAGAGATTTTGTGGACGCAGGTTTGCCCAGAAAGAACCCTGCCCTGGGTGGTCCTAAGGATGTGAAAATGCACAGACCCACGCAGATGGGGAGAACATTCCACTGGGGCTGCCCAGTGCGAAAAGATCCCCGGGGAGTGCTCACCTGAAATCAGTCTGGCCGATGCGGAGTGCAGGCGGCTGGCGACAGGAACGTCTCGGGAGAGGAAAAAGCTCGGGGTTAATCCAGGATGTTATCTGGTTATCGGCTAGGAGACTTTGGATATGTGGCCCAAGAGTCAGTTGCCTGCCGATCGAGTCACGGCACCAAATGATAGAGTTATTTCCAAAAGATGAAAAATATTAACAAAAGATGAGAAATATAAAATAAAAAGTGGCCTTTATTCTGAGAACACGGAGAGAGATGACCAGCACCCCCACCGCTGGCGTCCGGCAATCTCTCCGGCGGACACGTGGCGTGGGGGCCTGTAAATAGCCTCGGTTTGGGGTGGAACCTAAGGCGGGCATTAGGGATACACAGGTAGCCCATTGGTCCTAGGTTTGGCGCCATATGTAAATTCCCAGGGGCGGGAAGATGGCGTCACAGGTAACTTCCTAGGGGCAGGGCAAGATGGGGCTTCCTGCTTCCGGTTGTGGCTTTCCTGGCTACAGTGTCCTGGGCCAAGACCTTTCAGTGGGTACAAATTTTCATTTTTAAGTATTTTTTGGGGGGAGGTACTGGGGATCAAACTCATGACCTTGCACTTGGCAGGCATGCGCTTATGCCGCTGAGCTAAATCTCTGGCCCTGTTTTCTAATTTACAAATATTGTTGTTTAATTTGTCAGACTGTTCAATTTTTTTCCTCATATCTTGGAATGATTGATGGAATAAGCATTTCACATAGTGTGTCTTTAGGCAGGGATATAACTCAATGGCGCACACCAACCTACCAAGTACAAGATCATGAGTTTGATTCCTAGTATCAAAAAAATGATAATGATAATATGTGTTTAGCATATACTAATAATGATCTCTGTCTTCTGAAGTACTGAATAAGAAGTCCTATCTTATTTTGGGGCTCATACTTACAAAAGCAAGTATCATGTAATTATTTGGACTAATTTCTGGAGAGTATTCAATATAGAATTACTACTGCTAACTTTATATAAATCATAAGGTAGCATTATTCATACACCTTAATTTGAAATTTACAGTTAACACTGTACGTGGTAACTGAAATAAAGTTTTAGTTATCTAAAAAACAACAGTAGTAAAGTGAAATATTTATGCAACCGCTGAAGACACTTTTTATTGAAGGAAGCTAGCATACTGACTGAAATGGTCCTGATTGCTCACCTGGTTCCAGGTGAGCCAAACCCAGCCTACTGCCTGTTTCCTTAAGGCCCTTGATCTGAGAATGGTGAAGATCTGCAATCATATTGATAATAAGGAATACTGACTTTGAGCTCTAGGTAAGCAAAACGCTATCCCCAAACAAAGGAACTTTTTTTCCTCATTAGATCTGTGTTATAAATAATTGTGATCCTAGCATATTGGAGGCTGAGGCGGGAAGATCGCAGAGTTCAAGGTCAGCCTGAATGAACTATATAACAAGACCCTGTCTCCAAAAATTCCCAAATTGTACTGTTTCTATTTTTTTTTTCTTTTTGTCTTTTTCCTTTTTATCAGTACCAGGGATCGAACTCACGACTGCCTGCTTGCAAGGCAGGCGCTTATGCCGCTGAGCTAAATCCCCAGCCCCTATATTTTTATTTTATGAATAAAACCTTTGGATTTGCCTATGCAGTTTTTACTTCTTGCTTACAAAGGTTAAAAGACCTCATTTTTCCTGACAAGCATGAGGTTGTGAGTTCGATCCCTGGTACCAAAAAAAAAATTTAAAAAAAAAGAGCTCATTCTAGGCATGGTGGTGCATATCTGTAATACTAGCACCTAAGAGGCTAAGGCAGGAGGATTGCTGCAAGTTTGAAACCAGGCTAGGCCACTGCATAGTGTTTCTCAAAAACCCAAAATTAAAAAAAAAAAAAAAAAAAAAAGAACTCATGATATTATCTCATTGAAAAGCATTAATACTGCATTTAAAAAATAACCATTTAAGCCAGGCATGGTGGCACACTCTGGGAGGCTGAGGCAGGAGGGTCACTGTGAGTTCGAGACCAGCCTGGACTACAAAGTGAGCACAAAGCCAACCCAAACCTCATAGCGAGACCCTGTTTTAAAAAGACCTCTACTCTCTGTTTGAATGTCCACTTTGTATTCTTTGATACTGTGATTTGAGCAACTATTTTTAAGATGATAATATGTAATCTATTAACAGGTGATTTCTTACTATTTTTTTTGTAGTTCTGTATTACGTGTACCCTTATACCGCTTTGTTTTGTTTTGTGTTTTTCTCTTTTTCCTCTTAAATAAAATTTAAAAAAAAAAAGACCCCTAAAAAGAGAACCGTTTGCTGGGTGTGGTGTTGCACACCTGTAACCCCAGCACTTGGGAGGCTGAAGCAAGAGGGTCACCATGAGTTTGAGGCCAGCTTGAAATACACACAAAACTTTGTCTCTAAAAGTGAAAAACAAAAAGATCATTTGAGAAAGCAGATAACAAAATGGTATGTACAACATTTTGTATGTATGCTTATACATTGGAACTAAACAGAAACAGGACTGCTTAGAAATTAGGAGAAGGGTACCATTTCCTATTTTTGTTACCTTTGGGAAGTTAATTTTTTTTTAATACTAGGAATCAAACAACCTTACACTTTGCCAGGATGGCACTGTGCTGCTGAGCTGTATCCCTGGCCATGTTACTTTTGAGTTGCATCTGTAAAATGGGTAATTGTAAGTGAGACCATATTTGCAGTGTATGATGGTTATCTTTATTGTGAGGCGCTGGTCCATGCATGCAGTGCGTCTCTCACAGCAGGGCTGTTCTCAGAGGCTCAGAGCATCTTGGGGGAGGGATGGTAGTGCACTAAACCCAGTGCCCCTGCACACAGGGCTCTCACTGAGTGCTGCTGTCACTGTAACCAAGAAAGGTGCCAAATAGGAGGTGACGGTTGCTGAGCAGCAGAATTACTGATTATTATTTTTAATATGTATGCACATTTTCTAATTGAACATATTTATATAATATTTTTTTTTTGGTACCGGGAATCAAACTCATGACTGCTTGCTTGCAAGACAGGCTAAGTTCCCAGCCCTTTTTTTTCTTTTTCTTTTGAGACAGAATCTTAGAATGCTGACCTTGAACTCACTGTCATCCTCCTGCCTCAGCCTTCAAGTGCTGGGATTACAAGTATGTGTCACCATGCCCAGATTATTATAAGATTTTTTATTTTTTTGGTATGAGACATCGAACTCACAACAGCATGCTTGTAAGGCAGGCTCTTACGCCACTGAGCTAAATCCCCAGCCTATAATAAAATATTTTAATTTAGACTTTATTTGTTTTTTAAAAAACATTAAGTGTTTTACTTAAGACATGAACAGTGTAGGGCTCAGTGTTATAAGTGCCTACCTGACAAGTGTGAGGTGGTGAGTTTGATCCCCAGTAGCAAAAGAAAAAATAAAGACATAAACAGTGTTTTGAAAAAAGACACACAATCAGTTTGGCCTTTGGATATTTATGGTTGATGTATTTCTCCCCTATGTTATTCTTTCCTGTAGACATGGCCCCAGGGCATGGGCACGAACATGGTCATAATAAGCTGGAATTTCCAGACTACAGACAGTGGAGGATAGAGGGGACACCATTAGAAACCGTGCAGAGGAAGCTGGCTGCACAAGGATTGAGGGACCCGTGGGGCCGGTAAGATAAACTGAGTGACGTGGGTAGGTTATCGCACTTGGGTGTTTTGTGTTTTGTTTTTGTTTTGCAGTATTGGGTGTTGAACCTAGTTCAATTATTGCTGAATGTAATTTTTACCTACTTTTAATGAATATTTGCATCTATGTTCATGAGGAATGTTACTGTAGTTTTCTTTAACATCTTTGGTCTTGGCATCTAAATTAGATTTGATACTTTCTGATAATTCAGGTATTTGGAGTTAAATGGCTTTTGGTCTTTATAGAATATTTTTTGTTTTGTGTTTTCCTTTTTGGGTACCAAGGATCCAACTCACAACCTCAAGCTTGCCAGGCAGGTGCTTACGCTGTTGAGCTAAATTGCCAGCTAGCATGATTTATTTTACTTATTTATTTTGGTACTGGGGATCGAACTCATGACCTCACATTTGCTATGCAGGCACTTGCACCGCTGAGCTAAACCCTTGGCCCAATTTTTTAAATTTAATTTTACTTTTTGTTGATTTATCTGTGGGAAGAGACATTTTTCCTACAGCTCTCTAACTTCTGTTTGTTTCTTTGTCGAGGGCACTTAGAATCATGACCAAGGTAGGAAATCAGTCTCCTGAAGGAAAGCTGTGTTGTGTTTGTATAGTAAAATCGTAACAAATGATACACTGTCTTAGGTCAAAATAGATCTTGTATTAGTGGGTTTTTTTTTTTTTTTTTTTTTGTCTTTTTTCCTTTTTATCGTTACCGGGGATCGAACTCACGACTGCCTGCTTGCAAGGCAGGCACTTACGCCGCTGAGCTAAATCACCAGCCCCGTGTTAGTGTGTTTTATCTTTCTAACCTTGTAAGATAGGTAGAGGAGCAGGAGAATAGCCAAACCCCTGCTGAAGGCTGAGTTCCTCAGTGCAGCGCAGTGGTGAACATAGGTCAAAGCCTCCGAAGCAGCTGCCCCACTGTGCCTGACCCCACACAGGAGCTGGCCGTAGCTCCCGTGGGCAAGTGACGTGAGTCTGAGAGCTGGGACTGAGAAGAAACATTCTCTGTGTAGCCTGGGCCTGTATTCTTAATTATCCTGCCCCATGGATTCTCATGTGCTACTTGCGTGACTTACATGACGCTCCGTTTAAGTCTGTGAGAAAGATGAAGTTCCAGTCACTGAAACAGTACCCTATTCTGTGCGATTATGAGCTTTCCCTTTTTCTTTTTTCTTCTAGCAATGAAGCTTGGAGATACATGGGTGGCTTTGCCAACAATGTTTCCTTTGTCGGCTCACTCTTAAAAGGGTTCAAGTGGGGATTCGCAGCGTTTGTGGTGGCCGTGGGGGCTGAGTATTACTTGGCATCCCTAGATAAAGATAAGAAACAACACTGAAGATGGTACCCACAAGTTCTCCAGTGACTTCTTAACTTGTGAAAATATGATTTCTCCACTGTGTCCTACTTGTCTGTGTGTCTCTTAAGGAACACTGGTTAAGATTTAATAAAGAGGGTCGGGGATTTAGCTCAACAGCATAAGTGCCAGCCTGGCAAGCACGAGGACGCAAGTTTGATCCCCAGTACCCACACACAAAAAAAAATTTAATAAAGAAAACATATGTCAATCTGTTTTGTGATCCTTTAAACAAAAAGCAGCTCTGGGCCAGGTCTGACTGGAAGGATTGGGCATGAGCAGTGGCGGTAGGTAAGGCACCCCTTCACACAGTGCAGAGGGCCAGGCTCTGCTCTGGGACAGTCGCTGCTCCTGGCCCACACATCCAGGGATCGTGTTTATCTTTTTATGCTTTTTTCTAGTCTTGTTCAGTTAAAATTGAAAACAGCTTATTTTGCTAAATCACCTATATTTGTTTATAAATATGAAATCAATGAGACAGGAATTTCTAATAAACTGATAGTAATAAGTGGAATGTGGTCAAGTGGAATTATTCAAAAGACTCATTACAAAGAAGATAAGAAGCAGGGCCAGGGATATAGCTCAGCAGCTAAGTGCCTGCCTGACAAGCACAAGGTAATGAGTTTGATCCCAAGTACCAAAAAAAGAAAGGAAGGTGTTTAAAATCCACAAAGCTTTGGGACCAATAGAAATAATGTGATCAAATTTAAGTTTAACTCATTGATTTTTTTTTCTTCAGTCTTTGACACAGGGTTTCACCATGCAGTTCAGGCTGACCTTGAACTCACTTGGTATCCCAGGCTGGCTTCAAACTCACAGCAAATCCAGGTGCTGGGATTACAGATGTAGGCCAACAAACCTAGCTTTATTTATAATTTTTATATTAAATGTAAATTTCAGAACAAAAGACTTTGTCAGTTCAGGCTGGCTTTGAACTCACTCTGTAACCCAGGCTGGTCTCCAGCTTGCAGCAGTCCTCTCGTCTCAGCCTCCTGAGTGCTGGGATTATAGGCTAGTACCACCATACCCAGCCAAAGACTACTACTTGCACAGGGATATAGATCAGTGGTACAAGATCCTGCCTGGAAAGCATGAGCTCATTAGTTCGATCCCTGATAACAACAAAAAAATTACTACTTGTAAATAAAAAGGCACATTTCATAATACTAGAGGGATCCATTCAATACATTTATGATGGAAATCTTGCAAAGTACATGCTCAGACCAAAGACAATTGGGCTAAGAACATCTGAAAACTCCACAAATATTTGGAAGTTGGATTACATGGATGAATATACTTTCCTCAAAAAAATCTCAGCCAGGTATGCTGGTGCATGCTTTTAATCCCAACACTTGGAAGGCTGATGGAGGAGGATCACAAGAAGTTCAAAGTTAGCCTGAACTGTATAGCAAAACCTAGAAGTCTAGGGAAAGTTAAAAGTATTTTTCATGGGATAAAGATCAAAGTACAAAATCCAGAATTTGAGAGCTGCAGCTAAGATTGACCTCTCACCACTAGGAAGAGAGATAACTAATGCAACAGGACTGGACACATGAGGAAACTAACCTGGTGGCGTTTTACAGCAGCTGCCCGAACGTGGCAGTTCTGGAAGTGAAGTGAGTGTCCTTTGGGGGACTGCTGACTTGGGGTGCCGTTCGGGGGTGGAGCCCTTGCCCACCATGTGCGAGACTCAGGATTTGATTAGTGTGTGTGGGGGGGTACCTGCCAAAGAGATCACCTGAGCAGCTATATACCTATCTTACATTTTTACTTTTTGGTTGATTGTAAACTCACTTGCTAGGTCAGGTGGAGTAGGAAGTGCAGTGCTTGACACATCTAAAATAGGTGGCTCCAGCTCCCACTGCATTGTCTGCGTTCCTTGGGACTGTTTTGTAGTTGTGCTTGAGATAAATGACAGGAACTTTAACAATCTTTTTTACTTTTAGTATTAGGACTTGAACTAAGAGTGCTAAGCTACTTCCCCAGCCCTCTTTATTTTGTAATTTTTTTTTTTTGAGGCAGAGTCTCACCAAGAGCCCTAGATTGACCTCAGAATTGTGCTGCTCCTGCTTCTGCCTTCCAAGTAGCAGGGATTACCAGCGGATGAAGCCGTGGCCTGTCTGGGAACTTCTTGTTAGACGAAATGAAACATTACGGGGGACTTCTGGGGACAAGGCGACATGGAAAATGCAAAGACAAACACAACAAAAGAGGAGGACTTTACGCTTGTAGAAAGTTAATGGGAGGAGAAGACTTGAAAGGGGCGTAGGGTGACAGGAGCGCAGGCAGTAGGGGATACCTGCGGGAGGTGGCCCTGCTTTGTGCAGGCTGGAACAGTCCGCGTGAACTGCGTGTTTGCCGGGCTCAGGGAGTGAGGATGGCAGCTGCCGTTGGCCTAGAGGCTGGGCGCACAAAGATAAACTGACTCTCCCCGACCTTTCTCTTTTCCTTCATTCACTGTAACGATCGTTTTTCTTTCTACAATCCGGTATCCCCCATGGACCCGTTTACTGCAGCAAGCACGGCAGCCAAGGCGAACCGTTTCAGTTCTATCATGTGATCGCTCCTTCTACTGGTGTTCAACACGCCCACTGTGTGGCGTCACTTCCGGGGCGGGGTCATAAGGGCGAGCGCGCGCCGCGTTGCGTCACTTCCGGAGCAGGGTCTCAGAGTTATGGCGCGACGCAGGGCTTCGGCTCTTTGGCCGAGCGAGACGTGCCTTGGGGCCGCAGTCAGCGGGTGCGGTCGGGTTGATGGCGGGCCGTGGTCAGTGGCTTGCAGGAGCTTCTGACTGAGGGTGGTGGCCCACGCAAGAACCGGAACACGAGAAGACAGCAGAGGCGCAAGCTCTGACTGCACCGCTGCTGATGACACCGGTCGGGAAGATGACCGCCAGCCAAGTCTGCCCTGCACTGCGAGCTCGGGCTGCCCAGACGTGGATCTCAGGTCGCTAGCGACGCGCACACTACATCAGCGAGGCACTGTGGGGTGGACCTCACCCATGTCTAACCGTTTCTGTAGTGTTTATCTTAATGTTCATAGAAGAGAATACTGACATAACAAATCTAAGTCCCAGGTTGAGATTTACTGTAATTTTTACTCACAGTATTCCATTGTCACTAAAACTGGCATTCACTCACAGGTGTTTAGTGTAGTTTATATGTACAACCTAAATAGTTTTAACAACAAAAATTGATATATTCAGTGTTGGCCTCACAGTTGGCAGTGTGGGTTTCAGAGGTTAATGTGTAATCCCAGCACTTGGGAGGCTGAGGCAGGAGGATCACTGCAAGTTCCAGGCCAGCCAGAGCTGCATAGTGAAACTGTTTTAAAAAGGCTAAAAACAGGGGTTGGGGCTTTAGCTCAGCGGCATAAGCGCCTGCCTTGAAAGCAGGCAGTCGTGAGTTCAATCCCCGGTACCGATAAAAAGGAAAAAGACCAAAAAAAAAAAAAAAGGCTAAAAACAATAAAAAAGGGAGAAGAGGAGCGGGGAATAGGAGGAGTAGTTGATGAGTTGCTTGCTGCAGTAACACTTGCCTTGCCTGTAATCCTAGCACTTGGGAAGCTGAGGCTGGAGGTTCTTGAGTTTGAGGCCAGCCTGAGTTGCATAGCAAGAGTTCATCTCAAAAAACAAACAAATGTGTTCCCAGGGCCCCTCAGAGCCCCAGTCCTGCAGATTACCCAGATTCATGATTCCTCTATGAGTCCTACTCCACTTCAGCATCGTTTGGGTGGGGAAAAGTAACTTTTTTCTTCAGTTTTTGTTTGTTTTGTTTGGGGCCAGAAATCATGTCAGAAACTTGGAGTCTGGCCAGACATAGTGGTGCATGCCTGTAATCGCACTTGGAGGCTGAGACAGGAGGGCCATTGTGAGTTTGAGACCAACCGGGGCTACAAAGTAAACTACAAAGAAAAGAAATTCAGAGTCTGGAACTCCTGTGGAAATTGTATTCACTTGCCTCAGAATCTGTAAGAAGGATCTACTGCAAGAGGATTTTATTTCAATTTATATGTCATATATAAAATTTATTACATGGTTTATTTACACATACTAGTATTATGAATATACATAATATCCAAAATGCTGTTTAATGTTAATGAATTTCCTTTGGGGGGGTACTGGGAATCAAAATCAGATCTCACACTTGCTAGGCAGGCACTGTGCCACTGAGCTAAATCCCCAGTCCCTAGACCAAATTACTTTTGCTATATTAACCAATGTAAAAGGTGGCTTTAGCACTTAAAAAACTAAAGGTAAAATCTCCATGTCTCAGATCTTAATATTTTTCTGGTTAATCTCACATACAACAAAGTGAAGCAACTCCTTGAAATATCCTACAAATGGGGCTGGGGAATTGGCTCAGCAACATAAGCGCCTGCCTTGCAAGTGTGTGGTTGTGAGTTTGATCACTGGTACCGATAAAAAAAGAGACCAAAAAAAATCCCACAAATTACAAAGATAACTGGACAGAATGTAGGTTATTGCTAAAGACTTACGTTTTTGGGACTGTACATTACAAGAATAACATGAACATTTAAGATGTAAACCCGGTAACCCCAGCACTCAGGAGGCTGAGGAAGGAGAATCATGACAAATTCAAGAATTTGAGCCACCCTGGGCTAGTGACATCCTATCTTAAAAAAAAAGTTATACATCAAAGATGCCATTTGAAAAATAATATTTTCATTTTGTCTTTTAAAACTAAAAGAATAACTCGGGAGGCTGAGGCAGGAGGATCCTTGTGAATTCAAGACCAGCCTGTGCTATGAAGTAAGTTCAAGGCCAGCTGAAATAGCAAAGCAAGACCCTGTCTCAAAATAAATAAAACTAAAAGAATCATTATCATTATTGTCATTGCTCATAGTGAGGATAAAACCCAGCGTCAAGTTTATGCTTAGCAAAATCTCTACCACTGAGCTACATCCTTGGTTCTTTTTTTTGTTGTTAGAATTAATTTTTTTATTTATTTTTTGCCAGTGAAAAAAAAAAGCAGTAATTGTTTTTTTAACTGCTTTGTTCTGTTTTGATATGTTTAATCTTACCCTCTTTGAGATGTAAAACAAATGTGTAGGACTGATAACCATATTACTGAGCTCTTGTTTGATCATAGAGCAGGACGGTTTGTAGTGTCACTTTATGAATGTCATTCTAAATACTTTAATTCTATAACATGAACAGCTATTTCTAAGATGACAATGTGTAACTTATCAACCAGCAATTTCTTACTGTTTGTTTTTCTGTAAGTTTGTATTATTTCTACCCTTTTTTTTTTTATCTCCATGTATTCTTTTGTTTCCTTTTCTTTAAATAAAAAAAAAAGAAAAGAAAAGAAAAGAAAACAGTATAAGTGACACAGGACTTCAAAACAAGAAAATAAAAATCAGCAATGTTAATCATAATGTTTTTTGCTGTCTTCAAAATAGCTGTCCATACCTTCAGACATAGTAAAAATCAAACAAAACAGAACATAACAGAACCAATGAAAACAAAACAATGAACACAATAAAGAAACTTCAAAACAAGTTAAGAGTAAGTCCAATATGGCTACCATAGTGTATCTTTTTCAAGTAGGTTCCCACAACATTGGATATAATAAACAAACAAACAAAAATGAAATAAAGCCCAACCCAACAAAATAACGAATATGATACAGGACTTAAAAACAAGACAATAAGGAATTAACAATGGCCAGCACCCTTAGAGGGAGATCCCCCATAGATACTACATTACATATTGTTATCTTCAGAATAGATGGTGAGACCACCAGACTACAAAGTCAGTGAAACACTGAACACTACAAGCATTAAGCTGTATTTACCTCAATAGTTATCATCACAGCTTGTGTTTCTCCACATCAGCCACTTTTGGGGGTGAGGAGACCTTGTTTCTTCCTGTCTCTCAGCCTCTACACCAGAAGGGGTTGGCATCTGGTTCTCCCACAGCACCTCAGACATGGAGCCAACTCATAGGGATGGTTTACTTATTTGGCTTCTTCTTATTCTCCTCCTCCTCTGCAGTCCATGAGCAGCACTGACTCATGGGAAAACACTGCCATTTAGTTCTCTCCCCCAGCTGCCTGCACATGGTACGGACTCACAAGGAGGACTTGCTTCCTGCTGACTTGCTTTAATGTTTTTTTAAAGAAGTAAAGGGATTATGAGGGAGAATTTTAAAGCACACACTCAAAGAAATAGTGTGAGGCCAGAAAAAGGTGCACAGAACAGCTAATATTTATGTTTTTGCAGTGGAATTTGTGAATCTACCAGACCTTGTTTGCAGGAAAAAAGTGATGACTCCCCAACAGGGAAGACAGTAGCTTATTTTACAGAAGGATACAGAGTCCAGTAAACTATTTTGTATTTTTAAAGATTAAACATTATCTAAAAATATTCTGTGATACTTTTGACAACCTGCCAGGATGTGGAGATGTGGATAACCTGAGATAACTGTATCTTAGTCACATTCTTCTTAAAAGTACCATCTATAAATTATAACCTCCCTGTCTCCTTCCTATCTTCTGTTTTGCTTCTCTTCTACCTGAATTTCAATTCCAGGGCTCTGATCCCTTACTCCTGAGGGATGCAGAAGCAATTTGGGGCTATCTTCTGCTTCAGGCTGACAGGAGGCACAGACGCTGCCTTGCAGGGTCAAACACTTCACTCTGACTGTCTAATGAGAAAAATACATGATTTTTGTTTGTCCTTTGAAGGTCCAGAAAAGGGGACCAGGCCTTAGAAAGCAATTGATACTTAAGCTTCATTTTACAATGGGACTCATTTCTTTATGGCTTTATAAAAATTGCTGGTCTCCAATATCCACTGTTTTAATGTTTCTACAACTGACCACTATGGAAGTTAGAAAAGCAGCATCATTGCTGTGGAAGGCAACTGCACAGGCAAGTGCACACCAAACCTCAGTACTCCTGACTCAGCATTTCTACATCCTGCTGATTTACACACTCCTGTGCATACCACACCAGGTGCTTCTGCTTAATATCAGAGAGGATGGCTTGCATAACAAAGCCAAACAATGATATGCAAAGTGCCTTCACCATGCTTCTTAGTGAAACCAGCATTATGCATGGCCACCAAGGAGCCATGGGGGTCAAACACTGGTGAGCCAGAAGAACCCCAATAAAAAGTGGTGTCATAGGTAACAACATTAGGGTTGTGAAGAATTTCCCTGAAACTGTTTTGAGTGTACATGTGGGCAAACTGAGGCTCAGGCACTAATTCTCTCATACTTCTGTCACACGTCTCTTTTCGCTCTCTCTGAGGAATCATGACACATGCATCAGTGGACTTCGTTTCTCCTGCAGGATGCCCAATAATATATACCAACCCATTAGCTGGTGCAGGGGCGATCCCATTGTAGAGTCCTGCAGGAACTTGCTGTCCATTTTCCTTGAGTTTCAGGACTGCGTAGTCGAGATCTACATCAGATATCTCAAACCAAGATTCGATGGAAAAGGAGTTGTGGTCTTTTGATTCAAACTCTTCCTAACTGAATGTCACTCGAGCACAGTGGCCGATTATGTCTGCCCACTTGCTGGGCTCTACTCCTTTTCCCACAATCTGATCTACCACGTGGTGACAAGTGAGAATGTAGGCCCTGTGAACATGAAGCAGGTGGCAGTACCCATGTTGCCATTATTGTCCCAGTGTAAGAATCCAACTGAGTCATTGAAATGTGAAAGGAGCTTGATTGTTTTAACAGGAGTAGAATTTTTGGTCTGTTTCCCAAAGTTTGTTCTATGAAACCTAAGTAATGTTGTTTGTTTTTTTCCACTTGTTTTCACTTCTTTCTTGATGTGTTTTTCTGATATTTTCTCTTTTTCTTTTCAAGCAGGAATACTCTTCCACAACGTATTCTTTCAATACATGGGTCTGCTTTTCACTAACTCAGAATTCTGTGCCGGCACCCTAGGGCTATTTCTAGTTTCAGCTTCCATCTTGAAGACCTTTCCCTCCACCTGATTGACTACTTGAGTGTTTTCTATAGTGGAGTTCTTGTTGCTGATGAGTTTCCAATGGCCATTCTCCAGAAAAGGAAGAAATCTGTGGTCCTTGCACAAAGCCTCCTTGATGGTTTCTCCTTTGAAACTAAAGACACAGAGTTTGTTTCCTTCTTTGTGAAGCTCCTTACATTTAACAGTCCTTTTTATTGTCTACCCAATTGCATGAACATAAAATTTGACACAGTCAGTGTTTGGTCTGCCTTTCGGCCACGTATTGGATTATCTTCCTTCTGCTCACTTACATGTTTGGAAAAGGTAATGTTCACAGTGGCCTCATTAGGAATACAACTGAAGGGCATCCCTAGGTTCAGGAACCCTGTAATCCTTTCTGTGCCACATGCCAGCATTGTTTTGCCTTGGTGAGACTTTACCTGTTCTATGATAGCCTCAAGACTATTGAGTGCCTCGTGTAAACTGGCCCTCTGATCCAGACCGCGGATCAATCCATGGGGTGTACCTGAGGAAAGAAATCCACAATTTTCATATTGTTCTCTGTGTCTGCTTTCCCGGACCTGGGCTTCTGACAGCTCATGACGGCTTGACGATGAAACAGATGGTTCAGCTGAAATCCCAGGGGCCTCGAGCACCTGCGGACGCACTCTTTTGGACGGCGGCGGCTCTGGGGCAGCGCAATGGCGCGAGAGGACTGAGCAAGGCGCGGGCGCGGATGCAGCTACATCCTTGGTTCTAAATTTATTTCTATTTCAATTTTTTAAAAACATTATTATTATTATTATTTTGGTCTTTTTTGTTTTTATCGGTACCGGGGATCGAACTCACGACTGCCTGCTTGCAAGGCAGGCGCTTACGCCACTGAACTAAACCCCCAGCCCCTAAACTTTATTTTGAAGGTAGTAAAATACAACAGAACAAAGACAATCGAGACAATGCAGTGAAATTGGTAAAGAGCTTCACACCGGGATAACAATAATAGGTACTATAATATATCTTGTTTTCACAATAGTTGCCCATTCCATCAGGTATAGCAAAATCAAACTAAAAACAACATTATAAAACCAATCAAAAGAGAATATTGAATAGAGCAAAACAATCAGAACAAAGCAAAACAGTGAAAATCACATTTGCCTTTAAACAGAAAATAGGGGGCTGGGGATTTAGCTCAGCGGCATAAGCGCCTGCCTTGGAAGCAGGCAGTCATGAGTTCGATCCCTGGTACTGATAAAAATGAAAAAGACTAAAAATACCCAAAAAACAAAGTAGTAGGAAATCCCCCATATTTGCTATATTATATATGGTCATCCTCCCAAGAGATGCTCAGACCTCTGCCCCCAGTTGCTAACAGTAGGGTGGGGGTGGGTAGGGGATGTTTGATTCTCAGCCTGCGCCACCTGCTCTGGCCCTTGCACCGCAGTTTCCCTGTCTCTTATCAGCACTAGTTTTGTTTTGTTTTGTTCAGAGACAGAATCCCAGCTTGCAAATCCTGAGGCAGCTCAGCCTTCCTCCTCTCCAGTCGGGCCAAGCCATGAACTGCAGCTCCCGGGGGCGGGCCCTCAGCACCTCTCTCCGGTTCCATCACTCATTTAACAAGCACTTCTGGAATGCCTGGATGTAGTGGGTATCACAGCCCCAGAGCACATCAGTGAGCAGCTTTCTCCATAATCCCACTGCAATGCAAGGTTCTTATGGCTTCCCCATGGGGATTGCAGGCCAGGCCATCCACATGTAGTGTGTTCACCAGCCAGTGTATCTCGGGGCACGTGGTCAGAGCTGGTCTGAATCAGGCCATCGGCCCCAGTCCTGCCAGGCTCTCACTGCTGCAAGCTGAACGGCGCTTGCTTGTCCCACCTGAGAGGACACACACGTGTGTCTGTAGCGCAGATCTTTTCCTACCTGCCCTGGTCTTCTCCTCAGATCACACGCTGATGGACCTCCATGGTTAGCCTTCAGTCACCTGCATACTGCCCAGAACATGGTAAAATGTTCAGTAAATGTTTACTTTGACTTAATTTCAAAGATTCCTTTATTGTAATTCTGGGAATAAATTCCCATCAAAACTACTCATCATAGCAACACTTTGGTTTTTAAACCCAAATATCTGGCCTGTTTTTATTCAGTCAGTGGCAAAACACTAGTTTGTGGAGAGAAAAATCCTTAAATATTTGCTAAATTGAGTTTAAACTACTTAAAATAATTTTCCTTTCTTGATCTTTAAATTTTTAAGGTTTTACAGGAGATATAAATTCTCCTTTTAGGAAAAAATGGAAACAAAGCTTTTGTAAATGAAGAGAGGAGAGGTTGAATGGAGGGTAGGGGAATAGGAGATAAAGGGAATTGGGATGCATTAGGTGCAGGTACAAATTCTTTATGAATATTAAAGTGTACCAATAAGCTTAAGTAATTAAGAATAAATAACTAAAGCCAGAAGGCCTCTGTACCACACACATAAAAATTTTTATATTTCAGCCCTTTAAAAAAGGAAAAGAGAGCTGGACATTGTGGCACATGCCTGTAAACCCAGCACTCCAGAGGCTAAGGCAGGAGCATCAGCAAATTTGAGGCCAGCCTGGGCTGCACAGTAAGTTGAAGACCAGCCTAAACCACAGAAGGAGACCTTGTCTCCAAAAACATTTAAAAAAACACGAAAGAAGGCAGGAAAACAATAGCTGAGAAAATAAAGCACAAACAGTAAGTTTGAAAGTTCCACAGTAAGTCACACCTTCACCCTCCGCGCACTAAGTCTATGTATTTATTTATTTACTTTGAGGCAGGCTCTTGCCGTGTAGCCCAGGCTGACCTCAAACTCCAGGCAGTCCTCCTGCCTCAGCCTCCCAACTTCTGGAAGTACAGGCTTGTGCCACCACCCCTGGCTAAATTTGTAATCTTATTAGTTCATGATAGTTCTGTCTCATTTTGAACCTATCTCACCTGTGGCTTTGGGGACTCCCTTCTCCGTCCCTTAGACAGAAGCTTTTCTTCTTTTCCATAAATTCTTCCTACTCTTAACCTCTTTTGCTCCTAGAATTCATTCCTCGATTTTAGAGAACACAAAGTGGGGAGTTTCTGACATCAGGATTGGGAGTTACATTTCCCTTATATTATTTGGAGGTCCTAGATCCTATGTCCGGTATCACTCTTCTGTGTGCCACTATGTCCAGCTTTTATTACTATATGTTTTCAATTCCTAATAAATACAGCTCAGGCCAGGAATATAGCTCAGTGGCACAGTGCCTGCCTTGCAAGCACAAGGTCCTGAGTTCGATTTTCAGTAACCTCTAAGATATGTACAGCTCATCCGGGGTGTAATGGCTTGTGTCTAGATTTCTGTCCAAAGCTTCATAAAGTCATGGGTGGGGCTTTTTCACAGGTGGCTGGATATAGGGTGTGATACTGACATTTATAGCCAGGCATGGTGGTGCACATTCAGCACCCAGCAGGCTGAGGCAGGAGGATCAGTGTGAGCTCTCCAGCCTGGGCTACACAGTGAGTTCAAGGCCAGTCTGCACTGCATAGTGAGACTCAGTCTCAAAACAAACAAACAAAAAAAGCTGTGTGTGATTACTAAATCAGTCCACTGTTTGGCATTGGGCCGGAGGGCACTCAGGCACCCGGGTGGCTGCACCAGCCTGGGTGGAAGTAACATGTAGCCAGAGGCTGTATGCACAGCGTACATGCTCCACACGCTAAGATCCCATCCCGGGCCGTGTTCGCACTGGGCAGGTGTGGAGCAGCATGCAGTGGGCTGGCCTCACTTCCCGTCTGCCCTCTCCCCGAGTGGAACTGTCTGGGGAAGGACTGCCCAGCCAGCGGCTCCAGGGCGTCAGTCCAGCCTCCTTCACTGGGTGCAGCAGAGGAAGCTTCGGAGGAGCTGCACACTGGACGCTGCCTCCCTCGTTGCTTTTGCTGTTTTCAACCACGGTCTACGGCTGCCCCTCGCCCACATGTCACCCTGCCTTGGAGCCAGCCAACTATGGACGGAAACCTTTACAAACTGAGCTAAACCCAACCCTTCCCCCCTGTAACTTTGAGTGTTGGGTATTTCATCTCAGCAGCGAGAGCCAAACAACTAAGCAGGGGCTGGGGATTTAGCTCAGTGGCATAAGCACCTGCCTTATAAGCAGGCGGTCATGGGTTCGATCGCCGGTACTGATAAAAAAAAAAGAAAAAACAACTAAGCTGCCCCACATGGATGCCCATCCATGACAGTGGCCCTCAGTGCACATGAGTGCAGGCCTTGTGCATTTTCCCTAAGAGATTGTCATCTGCAGGTTTGTTTCGTTTTGGTTTTTAAGAATTTTTTGAGGATGAGGTATCTATTTGTTTACATAGTATGAGCTCAAAAAATGTTTGTTTGGTGAATAAGTAACTTAAGGGGATTATTAGTCTAGCCTCCTCCTGTGACAGGAACTTTTTAAAACTTAACCTCTCCTTTGCATCTAGTCTGCGGTGTTAGAAGTTTGGGAGAAGGGGACTGAGGGTGTCTACAGTTTCCACACTCTAGCCTCTGTGTTTTCCTCTCACTCTGTTCCCAGAAGCAAGGTCAGTGCCAGGGTGGTGTTTAATTGTAATTTATGTAGCACCTACCATATGCCATGTGTATTTCTAAGATTAAATTGCATGGCAATTCCATGAGGTTAAGACAATTACTCTATGGCCTTTTTATAGATTAGAAAGCAGGCAAACAGGATCCAGCTCCTGAGGCAGGGCTAGAATTCGGCCCCTGAGTCCCTGCCCTTCGCCCTTACGGCGAGCAGCACCAGCTCGGGGCCTGGGGTGCCTCTGTGAATGCCCAAAGTATGCAGTCCCTTTGCTTATCTCATCTGATGGTTCAAATACACAGCGCATTAGAATGCAGTGTTTATTTGATTCTTTTCAGGAGCCTGACCTTCCAGGACGCTGGGGGTGGGGGCTCTGCGGTCCCTCTACCTCTGGCACTGTGAGGGCAGCAGAAATGCCAGGTGAGTCCTCTGAGGAGCCTCATGACCAGAGTCACCAGACAAGAGCGGTGCTGGTCTCTGAGTCACAGAGCAGTAGCAGTCTGAGCACTTCTGCAGGGGCCCTGACTGTCCCCGAGGTGGGGACAGTGACCAGAGAGAGCGGAAGGCCCACAGGCCACAGAAGCTGCCCACAGGGAACTCTGTGCCCCCGCCGGTTCAGTCTGAGGGCAAGGAACACAGGAGGCCGGGGTCAAGCCTGGGCCGCCTAGTCGGTGTGGGGCGGCAGGGCAGAGTGCACCTGGCATGGGCCAGAGCCCAGGGTTCAATCCCCAGTGCCAGACAGAGGGGGCCATGTGTGGCTCCCTGTGGCCCAGGTGGGTCAGGGGCGCAGGGCCCACGAACCCTCAGGAGGCTTGGTGGTGACCATGGCACTGTCATGCGTTGTGTGCAGAAGCACAGTCAAGGATTCCAAGAGGAGGAAGATTTCCCTGTTCTTAGCATGGTCCCACATGAAACCCCAGGCACGCCATTTAAAGGACTCTTTGTTTACTATTCTATTTGTGATCTTACAGGACAGTAGATAGGATTGTTTCATTTGGGGATTACGTTCATTTAAAAAAAATCCTTACTTTGACCAACTAAAACTTGGCAATCGCAGTCTCCTGTTGTGGTTCTTGTCTCGGGAAACCCAGAGGTTAGGAACAGAGCTCAGGATAAGCCCTGGCCAGCCTGGTTGTCTGGATGCAGTGCCCCAGGTGGAGGTGGAGGCTCCGTGTCCCTCACCCAGGGCTGCCTCGGGTACCACATGGCAGAGGAGGCAAAGTCCAGGTTTTGAAGCCCACTCTCCACTGTCACTCGGTCGGCTTCTCCTTGCTGAATTACTTTGCTTTTCTGAGTGTCTGTGTCCCATTTGCAAACAGAGCCGATGGCCCAAGAAAGGCGCTCTGTGTGAGCACTCACGGGTCACCCAGACGCTGGCTCCCTGCCAGGCCAGGCATAGGCACTTGCACAGGAGCCATGGGTACACAGCCCTGCTCTCTGAATCCTTTGTGTGCAGCTGCCTGCGTGACTGCGTGTGCACAGCATTTCCTTCCCAAACTTTTGTTTTTAAACTGAGAATCAAACTCACAAACCTTGCGCTTGCCAGGCAGGTGCTGTGCTGCTGAGCTATAACCCTGACCCCTTTCCCAAACATTTTACTCTAAAACATGTTCAAAAGTAAAGAAGAAAACCAGGGGGCCAAGCCCTTGTTCAGTTGAGCAGTGGCTCCTGCCACACAGCTGCAGAATGAAAGTCACCTCAAGGGCGACATGGCCCCAGGATTCAGCTGCCTGCCTCAGCTTCTCCCTCAGGGCTGTGTGGCTCAGGACTTTCCTGCCCCCCAACCTCCACTGCCTCTCTGGCTTGCTGTCTTTGCCTGTCCGTCAGTGATCTGATGTGGGACTGCAGACTGCGCTTGGAAGAGCAGGACCAAAACCTGGAGGACAGAGACAGGCTCTGCCCTCACTTGGGCAGGTCACTAGAGGTGACAAGAAGTTGGGGCAGAACCAGTCCTAAAGACACAGCCAGGACTGAAGTCCGCAGAGAGCGGGAGAAGGGGAACCAGAGGGAGAGGAGAACCTAGAGGAAGGGCTCCTGGACCAGAGGGGTTGAGAGTGACCACTAAGGCCAATGGCTGGTACCTGCAGTCCTGGTGAGTCAGGAGGCTGCATCTACCACTGGCCCAAGGCCTAGCGGGCCTGGGTTGGGAAGCCTCATTAGTCTTTCCCACACCACATCGGATGCCAGGCCTTCCCCTGCAAAAGGTTTAGAAATCCATGCCCATGAAATCTGGATGTCAAAGACCTCTACCAGGAAATCCACAGTACTCTGAAGAAAGAGAAAGATCAGAAAAAAGAAAGCTGTCCCCTCTTCCTGGAACCAGCATGCTCAAATAGCCAAACTTCTAAAACTGATACACAAATTTAATGCATTCCCAATCAAAATACCAATAGAATTCCTCACAGTGCTGGAGAAAACAGTCCTAAAATTCAAATTAAACAGAAGAGACCCAGCATAGCGAAGCAATCCTGGTCAACAAGAGCAAATCAGGGGGCTGCACAATCCTGGACTTGAAGTGATATTACAAAGCTACAGAGACAAAGTTAGTTTTGCCAGGTGTGGTGCTGCACCCCTGTAATTCTAGTACTCAGGAGGCTGAGACAGGAGGATTGCTGTGAGTTTGAGGCCATTCTAGGCTTCATAGTGAGTACAAGGCCAGTTTCTACTATGTAGCAAGACCCTATCTAGTCAGGGTTTGCAAGAGAATAGATTTAATACAGGACATGTAATTTATAGAATTATTATAGTCACCCAAAAAGTCAAGTGCAGAATAGCACAAGGATCTGTCTACATACTAGAGATCCAGTGAATCCAGCTGAGGGCCTGGATCCCTTGACAGTGTCCTCCATGAGAGCAGCTGGAGGCCTAGAGCCCACAATGATTCATGCAAATCTGTTTCACAGATCTGTGCTGGAAGGCCCAAAGGTCAGTGGTGGCAGCTAGAAAGTCTACACCAGTGGGGTGAAGGGTCTGTGCCAGCAGCCCAGGGTTCTGCACTGGAGCCAGGATACTCAAGGTAAGGACTCTCCAAAAGAACCACAGTCATCCTCAGTAACAACAGGGCCCGAGCTCCTCTGTCGACGAGAACAGCTAACTTCATATGAGGAAAGCCAGCACGCCAAGCTTCTCCAGAAGCATCAACAGCACGCATCTTCTCCTCCAGCTCTCTTTTTATGCTACTGGCAGCAACCCTCAGGCAGGCCTTCCATGCCCAGCACTATGCTGATTCAATTCGGCGTGGTGTTCCAGGTTGACCATTAGTTAATCCACCACACTGTCTCAGAACCAAAAAACCAACCAAAACAAAATCCCCATGAACAAACAGCGTAGTACTGGCATAAAGACAGGTATGTGGAACAGAATAGAGGACACAGAAACAATCCCAGGCACATTCGGCCATCCGATCTTTGACAGCTCAAAACAGACCGGGGAAAGATGGCCCTTTAACAACAGGTGCTGAAGAAGCTGGCTGTCCACGTGTAGGAGAATGAACACAGACCTGTGTACTTCACCATGTACAAAAATAAAATCACAACAGACTGAACATCTAAATGCTAGAGCAGAAACAGTTTGCTGGAAGGTAAGGTAAAACATGTAAAACTCTCAAAGACAGATAAGCAAGAACTTTCTGAACGAACCCCAGTGGCACAGAAAATAGCACCCAGATTCAACAAATGGGATCACATCAAATTTAAAAACTTCTGCACAGCAAAGGAAATGGCCAACAGAGTGGAGAGATGATCCACAGAACAGGAACAATTTTTTCTGGTTACTCTTCAGACAGAGGGTTACTATCTAGAATATATATAAAGTACTCAAAAACTTAGACTCCCAAAATAAAAAGGCCAATCAAAAACTGGACAACTGCTCTAAATAAGGCATTTCTCAGTGTTAGGTCCCCACCTGAGAGACAGCACAATCATCATGGCAACAGTTCAAAGCTGTGCCATGATAAGGTACACACCTCCTTCTTCCCAGAAGCACCCATGGCTTCTCCCTCCCAAAAGTCTGCCAAAGCTCAGGAATGTAAAGGTTTACCAAGTCCTTTGCACTCCCACAAGATAAATCAGCTCACACCAGCCCCCAGAGCCTGCATCAGGCAGAACCTGCCCTTCGTCTGTGGAGAGCCCCACAGCCTTCTCTGTGGGGACTCCCTCCATGCCCCCGCCCCAAACTCTTTTCTTATCTACTTGCCTCTTCTCTCTAATAGTCTGTGCTGCTCTAGGTTGAGTACAAATCACTCAAACACTCAGAAATACAAATGGCTAATGAGTACATGGAAAAAAAGTTCTGCGTGTCTAGATACACAAATCCAAATGCCACCTTGGCTCACCCTACTCCAGAAAGAAAGGCTGTCACCAAGAAGCCAGATCAAGACAGGGAGCGGCCAGGCTGCAGGGAGAAAGCCACCCTTGTACACTATGGTTGAGGATGTAAACTGTGAAAATCAGTGTGGAGATTCCTCAAAAACTAGAACTAGAAATTCTATTTGACCCCCTGTTTCCCTTCTAGGTGTCTTCCCAAAAGAGTTAAAGACGTTCTACAGTGGTCCACGTACACCCATGTGTACAGTGGCGTGACTCTTAACAGCTAAGTCTTGGAAGCAGCCTGCAGGTCTGTCAATGGATGACTGGATAAAGAAAATATGGCATTATATGCAGTGGAGTACTACTCAGCTAGATCTCCCTTTTTAAATTTCATGGTCTCTCTTGTATCAGAAACCCAGAGTAAAAATAAAAAGCACAATAAAAAATAGGTGACAGGAAGTAGGGAGAGAAGCTTTCTCAGAGGGGAAGATGGTCAAACAATGGCGAGGGGATGGAGACCCACGAAGGCGCTTTGTGTACAAGCAAGGATGCCACTCAGGAGTGTGATCACAATGCTCTGCAAACATGGGCTGGGAATAAAAACTGGACAGAGCAGCATGGGCGCCACCTCTTCAGGGGCCAGGTGGGGATCAGTGCACAGGAGCCCTGGGTGGGGGTGCCCACTCTGCCCCCAGCGCGGCCTGCACTGGGCCCCCCAAATCCTGCTCCTGCTGCAGCAGCTGTGAGCTCTCTGGGACTCCAGCTTTGCTCAGTGCTGTGTGAACTTCTTGTGTCTGGATTCTTTCACTTTGTGCAGCGTTTTCTTCCCAAATATGTAAAGTACTAGCCGTGAAGCCATGTGGAGAGAGTTTACATGGGTGCGCACATTCTCACCCCCGGAGTCCACCTACCAACTTCAGCTCTTCCCCTGCCTTTCCCGTTGACACACATGCACCACACACAGCACACACCAGGCCTCATGTGTGCTGGGCAAGTGTTCTCTGAGCTACATTCACCAACCTCATTTATGTATTTATTATTGCTGTTTTTAAATTTTAAAAAAATTTTTTAAATTTTAATTAATTTCTTGGTACCAGGGACTGAACTCATGACCTTGTGCTTACCAGTCAAGTGCTTGAGCCACTGACCTAACTCCCCGGCTCTTTTTAAAAGTTTTTTTATTTATTTTAAACATAGTGAAATCCAACAAAACAAAACAACAAAGCCAGTCAAAACAAAGCAGCAAAATTGGTACAGAACCTCAAAGCAGGACGCTAGGAGATCAATAGCAGCTACCGTAGTATGCCTTATTATCTTCACGTAGGTGTCCATTCCCTCAGGTACAGCAAAATCAAACCAAAAACAACAGAATAAAACCAATCAAAGCAGAATACTGGATAAAGCAAAAGCAATCAGAACAAAGCAAAACGTGAGAACAGTATGGGGTTTGAAAGACGAGACAGAAGGGAATCGCCCATATTTGCTGCACTGCACACGGTCACCCTCCCAACAGATGCTCAGACCGCTGGCCCCAGGTCAGGGCTGGCAATACGAGCATTTAGTTGCTTTTTGTACCTTAGTTGCTATCAACTCAGCCTGTCCTCAGAACCCGCAGGTTGCTTACCTGTGGTGGGAGGATGGGGTGATTGGATTCTTAGTCTGTGCAGGTAGGTTCACAGGAGGCACCAACTTTTCTCTTCCTAGAGCCTGTGTGGCTTGCACAGCTTACCAGAAAGGCTGGCTGGTTGGCTTCTTGTTGGATCCTCCCAGTCCCAGCATGGCCAATTCTCCTATAGTGCTGATTTTTCTCTTCCTGGAACCCGCACTGCTTGCCTTTTTGCTTTGTTGAGACAGCACTGCATTGGTAGTCCAGATTGGCCTTGAAATCACTATGGAACCCAACGGGCCTCAAAATCATGGCAACCTCCCTGTCTCGGCCTCCTAGGATTACAGGTGTGTACCCTCACGGCTTCACCAACCCTTTTCACTTTGACATGGGGTCTTGTTAAATTGTCTCGGCCTGGCCTCCAGTTTGTGGTCCTTGTGGCTCGGCCCTAACAACCTGTGAGTACAGTATCCATCTTATTTTTTAAATGCATTTTATAAAAATTTTTTTAAAAAAAGCTTTAACGGCACAAGGTCCAATACACGCTAGGCAAAGCTCTCTGGCTGGGCTATACCCGACCTCTTCTGTGGCTCTTAGGCCCCTCAGGACACTTCATTGTCTGCTTCAGGCAGCTATCCGCAGCCAAGCTGGCCCTGCTCCTGTACCTCAGTGTCCCCCTACTGTTGAGCCACAAGGTGTTTATCTGTATAGTTCAGGCTGGTCTGCAAAGCACTGTGGAGCCCACGCTGGTCTTGAATTTGCAGGATCCTCCTGCCTCAGCCTCTCAAGTGCTGGGACTACAGGCATGTACCACCACATCGATTTTTCCAAGGGTAATTTGGTGATTCCCAGGTGCTGGTTATCAGGAGCCAAGCTGCTATGAACAGGGCGTGGGAGTCACAGTGAGGACCAGCAGCCCTGAGGCTTCCCTGGGTGGCCTGGCAGTGGACAGCAATGCCTGCTGCAGCAGTGGCTCTGATTTCCTTTCTGGCTGGGTCTGCGGTTCCCGCCCCAGTGTACTTTCTCATGTTGCTCTGCAGCAGCCTCCCCTTGAACCCTGGCATCGCGTTGGCTTTGATTTGCTAGGCCTGGGTCATGATGCAGCTGAGCAGCTCGGCTTGTACTCTTCACTACTCACCTGCCCTTTTTGTGAAGCTTCAGGTCAGATCTTTTCCACGTTTAAAAAGTGGGTCATTGAGCGGGGCATTTAGCTCAGCGGCATACGAGCCTGCTTTGCAAGCGCGCAGTCATGAATTTGATCCCTGGTACCAAAAAAAAAAAAAAAAAAAAAAAAAAAGTGGGTCACTGGTCCCTGGTTGCATTGGGGAAAATTCTTTGTGTTTCTGCATATTGCCTTGCCGGTCAGGTACTGGAAACCACTGCCCCTTCCTTTTGTTAATAGCAGTCTTTCGGGCTGGGTGTGGCTGGGTATGGCGACGCACACTTGTAATCCCAGCACTCAGGAGGCTGAGGCTGGAGGATCTTGAGTTCAGTTCCTGTCTATCCGGAAGGACAGGGAGGCCTTGTCTCAGAAAAATTTGAAAAAAAAAAAGAGCCAGAAGATGGAGGAAGCGCCTCAGAAAGCAGACAGGTCCGAGGGGAATCGGCGTGACGAGCAGGAACAAGCAGCCGGAGCGGGGTCCGCGCACGGCGCCCCACCGCGCCCGGCCGCCCGAGGGCGCCGAGGCCGCGCAGCACCGCCGCAGCTCCCGCCTCCGCCGGCTCCGGCCTCCGCCCTCTTCCGGGCGCGCTTCCGGCTCCGCGGCCTGGCGGCGTCCCGGGGCGGGCAGTCTGCGGGGTGCTCCCCGCCGCCCGAGGCCTGGCGTGCGCGGGCTGGGCACCGCGGGCCGGGCACCGCGGGCTGGCGCGGGGCCGGCCGGCCGAGGGCCGCCTGCTGCGCCGACTCGGCCTCCGACGGACGCCCGGGCCGCAGGTGGGTCCCCGTCGCGGCCGCTGCGCCGGCGTCTCTGCTCCTCCGCGGCCCCCCGACCTCCGAGTTCCTTCTCCGCGGACCGGCTCCCTCCCGCCGAGCTCCGCCCCAGCTGCCCACTTTCTTTCTTTCTTCTTATTTAATTTTATTTTCTGTCAGTCTCAAGCCTAAGTTGCCAGGCTGGGCTTGAACTTGCGATCCTCCTGCCTCCACCTCCCAGAGTGCGGGGATCAAAGTGGGCGCCCTTGTGGACGTCTGCGGCGGAGTCCGCGGCGGTGTGGGGCCGAGCGGCGCGGTCTGGGCGTCGCTCTGCACGCGCTCAGGGCACGAGGACAGAAGGACCGAGGGCCGCGCGCCGCCGGGGAGGCTCTGTGCTCCGCTTTCTCCGTGTGCTCGGCTTCCCATGGCGAGCAGCTGTGTGCTTTTTTATAACTAGAAGAAGCAGTTTTTATTTTTCGTGGTCCTGGGGGCCGAATCCGTGGAGAGTCAGGCCGCATCCCCGGGGTCGCCCCAGTGACCTCCACCAGCAGCCGTCCTGCCTCAGCCTCCCGGGCACCTGCCGATTCCGCTGGGAATGACGGTGGCTTCCGACCGTCGGTCAGTCTGTCCTCTTAGGGCCGAGCCCCAGCTCCACGGAGCGGAGGACGCGGCCCGCCCTGCAGACCCGGCCCGCAGGCCGGCTGTGGCCGCGGCAGAGCTGCGCCCAGGGGGGAGGCTGCCTCGGGGCCGGGGCCGAGGCCTCTGGGCGGCCGCAGGGCCGGACACGACGGCCCGCAGCGAGCGGCGTCCTCACCCGCCTGGGCCTGCCCCGGGTGCGCGCCTGCCTGGGCGGTGCCGGGCTGCTGGGCACCCGCCTGGCTCCTGGGAGGCCGTGCTACCTCGGGACGCCGCTGCGGGGCGGGTGGGAGCACCGACTGGAGGTCGGGTCCGAGTTTAGAACCGGTGCGTGTGGGGGAGGCAGAGGACACGTTTTGAGTTTATTTTTTTAGCCAATGTTTGCAGTACATGATGATCACATTCCTCTTCCTTGGGAGAGTTGACAGACACCGCGCAGTTCCCCCACTGACCTTTCCTCCTCTCCAGCATCTGGCCTCCTTTCCTTTGGAAAAAGCTCTATCTCTGTTTCCTGTTATTTATCTTTTGTCTTCCTCGTTGACTTATTACATAGAAGAGAAAACACACACTGTTTAACCTCATGTGTCTGATTTATTTCACTTACCGCACATGGACCAGGGTGCTCTGTTTGCCTACAAGTGAGTTTATGCTTGTTTATGACAGTGTACCACCTCACTATGTGGAAATACCACTTTTTTCCCCCCTTGTCTTTTTGAGACAGGGTTTCACTATGCAGTTCAGGGTAGCATTGAACTCACTTTGTAGCCTACTCTGGCCTGAGGGATCCTCTTGCCTCAGCCTCCCAAGTGTTGGGGTTACAGACACATGCCACCATGCTCTGCTTTCATCTGTCAGTGGACACTTAACCCGGATCAGTTGGGCTGCTATAAACATGGGGTAACCATGTGTCACTGTAAACCCATGTCTTGAACCGTTTTGTTAAGATACCTAGAAGGGTCAAGTGGAGTTTCTGGTTTTAGATTCTGAGGAATCTCCACACTGATTTCCATAGTGGTTGTACAGCTTACATCCCGCCCGCAGTGTAGAAGGGTTCCTGTTTCCTCACAACCTCACTAACATTTATTTGATTTCTTGATGATGACCAGTGTCTCAGTTAGTTTTTACATTGCTGGGACCAAACAACCTGCCACCCACAAGTTAAAGAAGGAAAGGTTTATTTGGCTCACAGTCTGTACAGGTTTCATTCCATAGTGAGCCCGCTCCAAGGCAAGGTGGTGTGGCAGAGGGGCATGCCAGGGGAACCAGTCCATGGCAGGCAGGCAGGCAGGCAGGCAGGAGGCAGTCAGTAGCAGCAGTGAGCCTGCCTTTCCCTCTTATCCCATCCAGGCTACAAGCCTTTTTGTGGTGCCACCCACACCTAAGGTGGGGTTTCCATTTTCAGTAAATCCATTTTAGTTACCTCCAGCCCCATACAAATTTCAATTAGTGGACTAAATTAGTACCTCATACCCTCATCCCAGTGTCACACTTTGAAGATTCACCCAGCTTCAAAAAGCCCCAGCTATGATCCCTTGAGAATCTGACGGACATTTAGACACAAGCCATAATGGCTTCATTGGAGCAAGGTGGAATTTCAGTGTTTTAATTTGCGTATCTCTGATGGCCGAGGAAGTTGAACATTTTTTTTTCATGTATTTATCAGCTATTTGTACTTTTTTTGAGAAGTGTCTATTCATTTCAGTTGCCCCTTTTTGACTGAATCTTTTATTTTTTGGAAGGGTCTCATTTTATGGGATTTTAAAGATATATTCTACATATTAGTCCTCTGAACAGTAGCTAACAAAATTTTCTCATTCTGTAGGTTGTCTCTTCCCTACGTTGTTTCTTTTGCTGTAAAGATCTGTAATTTGAAACCTGGCATTGTGATGCCTTTTGCTTTGCTCTTATTGCCCAGGATTACTTTTGATATTTGGACCTCCTCTGGTTTTCTATGAATTTTGGCACTGTTTTCTCCAGTTCTGTGAAGGAAGCTGTTGGCATTTTGATTGGAATTGCATTAAATCTGTCTATCCATTTTGGAAATGTGGTCATTTTGACAATGTTAGTTCCAAGAGATATTGTTCCATGTTCTGATATCTTCTTTGATCTCCTTTTTCAGAGTACTATAGTTTTCATTTGTAGAGAGGTCTTTCACTTCCTTGATTAGGTTAATTCGATTTAATTTTTCTTGGCTATTAAATGGTATTGTTTTCCTAATTTCTTTCTCAATGAGTTTGTTTTTTGGCATACAAGAATGCCACTGATGTTTGTGTGTTGATTTGTATCCTACTACTTAGCTGAATTTATTAGTTCTGCAAGACTTTTGGTGAAGGTTTTAGATCTTTTATGTGAAGGATTATATTGTTTGCAAGTAAGAATAGTTTGACTTCTTCCTTTCCTATATGTATTCTTTTTATTTCTTTCTCTTGTCTGATTGTTCTGGTGGACGTTTAGAGTACTATGTTGCATAGGAGTGGTCATAGTGGACACTGTTTCTTGTTCTTGTTTCAGAGGGAAAGCTTTCAGCTTTTTTTGCCATTTAATATGGTGTTGGATATAGGGTAGGACAGTGGGTCACTGCAGAGACTTCTTTTGTTTCCACACTCACGTTTCTTTGTGTGGATGCTGAGTCTGGCCCCGCCTTTCCTGCCCAGTGCGGTTGATTAAAGATTTCCACCACAGGACTAGATTCGTGCAGCTACTCAGCTCTTGTTCCCTCTGTGCATGCTGAGGCATGGCTTCTCCATCTGGCCTGTCAGTGTGTGAGCTGCTTCCCTGCTCCAGAGGCCCCTCCATCTGTGGCCCCTGAGCTGTGGCAACTGTTTAAACTGAGGAAAGCAGACAGACATGTTATGGTTTGTGTCTAGATGTCCCCCCAAAGCCTCATGCAGTCATGTCCGTGGGCTTCTAGAGATTGTGACTGATCCGTGGTACAATGCTGGAATTACAGGTGTGAGTCCTACGCCTACCCTGGGGTGGGTAACCTGCATACAGTGTAAGGGAGGGAGAGGGGCTTGCTCTCTCTCTTCCCCTTTTTTGCTATTGCTGCTTTGCTGTCTTCTGCGACCTTGAATTGTTGTCTCTGTGCCATGCCACCCTGCCTGGGAGCCAGCCGATTACAAACTGAAACCTCCACAGACTGTGACCTAAATAAACCTTTCCTCCTTTAACTCTGGGTGTCAGGTATTTTCTCCCAGCAATGATAGAAAAGTAACCAACACAGAATTTGGTAACAGGAGTGTGATCATTGCTGTGACTCTTCCTGACCATGTGGTTCAAGAACTTTTGGGAATGGTTTGCAGGAAGAGTTTGGAAAGGTTCAGATATGTCACCTGAAAGAGTACAGCTGGACCTCCTTAGGGTTTTCTGTATGGGAGATTCTGGTCAGAACTCAGAAAATCAGAAGGCTGATAAAAATTCTGCTGGGGCTGATAAAGACCAGGTTTGGAAGATTTCTGCTGGGAAGAACTGCATTGGCTTCTGAACTCCAAACTGTCATTATGGTTTGGCAGAAACCATTTCGCTTATGTCCAGAGACTTTGCCTGAGACTGAGATTATGGGTTGTGTACTAATTAATCTGGCAGAAGAAATTTCAAGGCAGTTGAATCTTGAGGTAGTAGCATGGCTATTGCTGTTTTTTTTTTTTTTATCCAGACTTACATTGAAAATCAAAAAAAGAGAGCTCAACAGAATTTTAAAATGTGGGTTTGTCCAGAAAGGAAGCTTCAGTAAAGCTGGACTGCAAAGATAGAGCTGAGGAAATCGTGATTGCTGAGATGGAACCGGAAAGTAGAAAAGGTGGCCTGCGGGCACCACTGGAGGCAGCAAGTCTGTACCCTTTGCCACCTCAAAGCCGCAAAGGTAAAAGACTGCTTTGAGAAGAAAACCACAGAGCAGCATGTCCCAGAATGGCGACAACATGGAGAATCTTTTCCTCAGAACTGGATTCAGAGTGTCCAGCATTCCAGACACTCTGCCACTACATCCAAGAGAGAGAAAAGCCTGGCCACAGCTCTAGGTGGCAGCACATCTTGGCATCATCCACATGGTACTGGTTTAGGTGTGTGCAGAATGAAAGAGTTCTGAGGTTAAAAATGCTTCTGCCCAGATTTCAGAAGAAGGCCTGGGAGCACAGGCAGTGTGCTCCTGAGAGGACAGTGTGTGAAGCTGTGAGTGTAAAGCCAGAGGTGCAGAGGAGACCCCCAGAAGTGTGGAGAACCAGGCACATGAATCATCTAAGGAGCATGTAAAGAGGGAGTGAAGTCAGCCCAGAGACAAGCCATGGGAGCAGCGCCAGTGCAAGTGCCACAAGGGCGGAGTTACCCGCGCCTTTTGGAGCTCACAACTTGCTGCAGGTTGCAGTGCATGTTGTACCTGAAAATGCAGC